TTAAATCTTATAATATTATACATTTATATATATTTTTAATATATTGACCTTTCAGCCATGCCTGGTTAACAATAGAGAAGCTACAATGACACGGCACACGTGGACTCATGTAACCATATCCAATAATATAAAACTGACCTTTAGTCTTTACAAAATGACCTGTCTTGGCTGTATTTTGGTGGACTGGTATTTTTTAAAATACAGTCACATTTAAATTATTATATATGTATATAAATTATTGCTATTTCGAAATAAGTTCATAAACTTATTTTTCTTAAAACATAGAACAGTAAATAAAGAAGTATACCAAACAATTATCTCTTCTAGTTATGAACTTTGTATTTATTTGCTGCATGAAAAAGGTTGCTAAGCCTTATCAAATTTATCACGTGGAGGATATGAAACAAAATAATTCTTTTAGGTTTTATATATACAGTTGAATAACCAAAAATCATAAATAACTATATCCATACCATAGAAATCCACTATAATTTATCAAGCTTAGTAACTAAACATACAACCTACCTCCTTGAAATCTTGGTTTGAAAGAACAAGATGGTGTTCTAACACAGGAAAATGACTGAGAAAGCCACTAAGGGGACATTCTGAGCTTTAGATTGGTTATTCATGTCATATATAGAAGTAATTGTATATGAGGGAGCATTTCCAAAAATGAAAACAGGTGGGTGGAGGCCACTGTGTTTGATTTGGTACATGAGTGATATCTTAGCAAATAGAAAAGATAAAAAGTTCTTATTCTATATTTTAGCTTGTCAATATTTGTAATTTAAGTTCCTGATTTGTACGAAACTCTAGACTTCGTATTTTGACTTCACAAACATCTAATTTGAACCAGTGCTACATTCAACATACCTCATGACACACAAAAATTGATGTTTAATTGTATTTTCTTAATACTTAGTATTGAATTAAGAAATTGAATAATGTATAATACTAAAATTTGAATTATAATTTACAGTTTGTTACCAAACTTTCCTGTCTGGAAAGGGTTAAATAACATGCTATAATTGGCTAGTGATGGTGTTATTAAAAATCACTGTTCCCATCATGGGAAACAGAGTGACAGATGATTTAAAGCAGTCCTTGTTAACGTGTCTAAGAGGACTAATTAACAATCTATTATGTTATGGGTAGAAATGACTACCTTATATGTTCAACCTGAAAATGGATTGCTGTTATATTCTTTTTTTTTTCCAAGTTTCAATAACTTTTTAAGTTCTCTTTCTAACTTCACAAATGTCTCAGGAACAACTGACTATTGCCTTGAAAGCATGAAGTCTCATAATAATGCTGGAGTTCGAAAGATTTGTTTTTGGTTTATATATGTAATTATATAATGCTCTTATAACACTTTATTGCATAATTGTTTTTCTACTTATGTGTAATGATAAGTATAATAAAACAAATCTACACATACATAATGTTACACTCAGCTACTTGTGTTTCATTTTTGTTTATTATAAAGAGTATAAATCTCAGTAATAATGTGTGTTCAGTTAAAAAAATATATTCACATACATTATATTTTGGAATTTATTCTTTTGTTGATGCTGCTGTTTTTACTATTTTATTTTGCTGACAGTCTTTTTTTTGCTCAGGGCTCTGTCCATTGAGCAAAGTGGATCTGACTATGACACTTCATCTGATGACATCTTGTAAACTTTTATCCACCAGTACAGGTTTTTGCACAATGACATGTATATTCACAAGTCTCAAACTGATGGATCATGGCACAACACATGAAATGGTGGCAAACACTCATCTCTTGTTTTTGGAATACTTGTGTTTTAGTTTATTTATTTTGCTCTTTTGCTTTTCCAAAACTGGGAAGACCTCTTTTTCAGGATTTTGTGCATATGCAGGCAACAACAACATCTGCTTTATTTTATGTTATATTTTTTCTATACCATCCAGTCTTTTTTATAGCTGAGGTAATTGTAGACCTGGTAGTGGTTCTGATGGGGATGCAAATGTAACTGTAGACAGTGTTGGTGATCAACTTCCATGAATGATGAAGAGCAATTCTTTGTGTTGTTACTTGATGTACAGATGGTATCTTTGTGGTATCTTTTGCTCATTTGTAACTGGCAGACTCACTGATATTGCTGGCCAGGTGAAATCATCCTAATTTTCTGTTGCTAACAGATGGCTATTAAGACAGGAAAATCAAAATAAGGTACACTGACCATTATTTGACCTTTCATGACAAAAGTCAAAATTAAAAATACCATGTCAACTCAGCCTGTGATAGGTCAGAAATTCAGTCAAAAAATATAAGGTTAAATGCTGTTATCTGATAGGTCACAGCTTAAGATTTCTTAGAACATTTTTAAACTGAATATAATGCAATTAAACAGGGTAGTTCTTACATATATATATATATATATATATATGTATGTTTATATGTCTTAATTTCCGTCAAAATTATCTCTATCTGCATTAGACAGAATGAAGTCAGTGTTAATTGGCTAATGGAAACGTTATTCAAAATATCTGATACACTGTAAGGCTCAGCAAAGGTTTGACAATGTCAGAGAGTTTGCCAAAAATCAATCTTTGCATTTGCATATCTTTACAGGCATTTTTTATTTTATATCTAGTTTTAAATTAAATTATATGTTCAACACACCTTAGAGCACAAGTGTCCTACTCTTTACACCTAGGTTTAATGGGAAAAAACCTACTTGGACTAATAATGGTTGGAGACAGTTTGAATGGGTAATGAAGAAAAACTTTAATATAAGTTTAACATAACAGCAAATGTACAACGTTTCGACAAGGTTTTGTCATCATCATCTCGTCATCGAACTACCTGGACTGCATTAGCTTAAACTAGCCAATGCAGCAACAGCCGTCAATTATCATTAATCTTTCTGTAGTTATTAAACAGAATAAGGACACTATCTTCCTTTGTACAACCAGCTCACAATTAAAGCAGATGTATCCTCTTTCTCTAGTTCAGAATCCCATGTGTCTGAACCTAACAACTGTAGTAGCAATACTGCCATGAAAACATGATCTAGACGTCTCTGATATCCCACTGGTAGCTAGTATTATGGCTGCATTGTAACACCAGGTAATGCTCATGGCAGTGAAACTGTGCATTAATGATTTTGAACATACTGATAATCTCAGAGGCACATTCAGTTACAGCCATGAGATTATTTTCTAACCTTAGGCATTTCACTACCTAACCATTCAAGGTAATTACCTGAAACACATCAATAAGCAAGCAAGGTCTTCATTGCTGTACTTCTGAAGGATGATGGTTTACCTGTTTTACCTTACCATCATTGTAAGATACTTGAGTAAGGAAACACATTATGCTAATATAATAATAGTTAGGCGAACAATGATTTATAAGCATAAGTAAGAATTTTATTGATGGTGGAATATACTTCATGTTTCAACAGTACAGTGGTCTGTACTTCAGGTATGATCAATACTAAGCAATACAAGGTTTATATATTGTTACAAACACAAAAGACATAGGGATTAACTGTAGTGGAAATGGTGTCAGTAGGTGATGTGATATATGTAAAGGCAAGTCTGGTCAAGTACATGAAAGGTGAATAGACCTTGCCAAATATGGGTGAGGTTGCTAAGGAAACTGTTACGGTTTAGTGAGAGATTGTTAGCTTTGATGGTTTCTGTAATTTCCAAACAGTCTCTTTCTTTCTTAGTTTTGGGTTGGTGTAGGAGAAGAATTTTATCCCAAAGTATTTTGTGATCTGTTTCATATTGATGGTATATTAAATCAGATATCTGTAATTCACCTCTACGCATGAGATCTTGGTGTTCTTTGCATCTGATTTCTAAGGAATGTGACATTTGTCTGATGTATTTTATTCGACATTCACATGGGATACTATATATGCCTTGTTTTTATTCCTTTAATAGGGATTCTTTTGGGTTAGATAGTAAGATGTTGGTTTTATGTTTATATCAATGCTCAAATTATTAAATAGGCTAGTAATTTCATTAGCAGTTTTTGGCACAAATGGAAATGAAACAAATTTGCTGTGTTTTATGTTGTTGATAGATGAAAGGTTAGAGTTAACATAATATTTTTATTGTTTTGAAGTTTGATACGTGCTCTGTCTATGATGTTTGGGTTGAATCCTCTAGATAGTGCTATGTTCTTTAAGTAGTTCAATTTAATTAGTACGCCTTCTTTATGGATGCAGCATGATTTATGTAGATGAAGTATGAGGGTATTTTCTGTGATCTCTCTTTTTACATTCACTTCTGAAAAGGGAAGACAATTGTTAGATTCTATTTCATGTGTGAAAATTATCAAAATGGATATTAATGTGTTAAAGAATTCCATGAAATTAAGTAGCATATCTTTCCCATGTTGCCTTATACTGAAGATATTGTTTACCTTTTATTACCAGATTTCAAGTTTCTTGGTGTATAAAAATTTTTTTCCAAACAGTTCTTCTTCTAGGGCAGTTATGTAGAGGTCACTAAGTAGAGGAGAAAGGGAGGAGACCATCACTAATCCATTATTTTGTTTATAAAATTGGCCTTTGTATGTAAAATAAGTGTTGTTTAAGCAGTATTCTGTGAGATTGATAAGGTGTTCTGTTACAGGATTGCTTTCTAGTTTTTCGTTTTTTTAACAGTATAAGGCTTGTTCTACAGATAGTGAAGTAAGTAGAAATTTTATGCCAAAAAATACTGATATATCTTCTTGGTTTAGTTTGAACTTTTTGATTCTATTGATAAAGGCTAGAGAGATTTTGAAAGAATATGGATTAGTTTCAAGTAGAAGGTTTAATCTGTTAACTAAGAATTTAGATTGGTTTTATAATGATGAGCTTGTGCTAGATACTATAGGTCTGTAAAGAACGTCTTTGTGAATTTTAGAAAGGGTGTTAAAAAAGGGGAGGAGGATAATAATGTGTAAGGATAAGGGAAATGTTTTCGTTAACAGTGAGAATAGAACAACCCTTAACTAGTTTTTAATGTTCAAAAACAACTTTGTTGGTGGGATCACCTTGGAGTGCAGTGTAAGATCCATCATTGAAAAAGGTGTTGACACCTGTTTCATAATGTGATTTATCTATGACTACAGTGAAACTGCCTTTGTCAGCTCTCTGTATGTATATATTGTTGTTAAATTTTAATTCTTTTAAAAAAGAAAGAGAATGTTTAGAAACTATCGAAATCACCAAAGCAAACAACCTCTCACTATGCTGTTATAATGGGCCTGGCAACATTAGCTGTATTTGGCAAGGTCTATTCACTGCTCATACACTTGACCAAATTTGACCTTTACCTATATCCTGTCACCTGCTGACACCATTTCTGTTACATTTAATCCCTGTGTCTTTTGTCTTTGTAACAATATATAAATCTTGTATTGCTTAATACTGATTATACCTGAAGATGACAGACCAATGTTCTGTTGAAACATGTAGTATGTACCACCATCAATAAAATTGTTACTAATGCTTAAAAATTATTGTTTGTATACCTATTATCATTGGAAAATGACAGAGAGTGAAGAGGCCCATGCACAGTTTCTCATATAACTGGCTGAGTTTCTGGCTTACATAAAAGCAGAGGTCGCTTTTGGTAACTAGATGCCCCAATGTTGCTTTGGAAGTATGGCCCTTATCCCAGATTTTCAAAGCATTTGTTCCAGTTTCATACATATTATCTGGCTGCTCTGCTGAACCATGAGAATCATGAATCTCCAAACAATCTATGGGAACTTTGAATGTCTGGCTTTCCTCTTGGGAAGGCTCTCTATTGCACTAGAAGCTTCCATTTCCTTGGTGAGATATCTACTGCTTCACCTGATGAATGGGGCAGTTCTTTTTTGTTGACAGACTTTATCTTCTAAGGGTATTGTGAGTTAATCTTCAGCTGTGCTGGTTGGTGATCACCTTGGAGTCCTTTAGAGATTGGCCTGGTGGTTAGGGTGCTCAACTCACAATCTGAGGATCCCAGGTTTAAATCCCCATCCTTTCAGTCATGGAGGCATCTCAATGTCCATTGGTAAAAGAGTAGCCCATGAGTTGGCAGTGGGTGGTGTTGACTTGCTGCCTTACCTTTAGCCTATCACTGCTAAATTAAGGATGGCTAGCATTGATAGTCCTCATGTAGTTTTGTGCAAATTTCTAAACAAACTCAAAGCCTTTAGAGATTACCCAACTTGGTCTCAGGACTTCCAGATGTCTTGTCATCAAGGAAACTAGGTTTAATATTCAACCTCTTCCACATGTTTCAGGTAACCTGGAAATGTTAGTTAGATCAGAAGCTTATAGGTCCTAGGCTGTGATTCAACTGTATAGACCCTAAGGCCAAAATGAAAGTTTGATTCTTTGCACAAGTGGTGAAATGCCTTGTCCAGAAGAGGACTTACCCAAATCAGACACTATTTTTTATCTTGGCCTCATCTCAGTTTTCATCATAAGATTTTTTGTTTGTAGTATTCTCATGTAAAAGCAGGCAAAATAAATACTGTTAATTCTTCCAAATAGGTGGTTAGATAAGAAATATAATAAGAAGTGTAAATAAATTGGTCTCACCTAAAAACAGATGAGACTCAAAATATTTCACAATAATATTTTTTTATTTTAAAACAAAGAAATAACATAAAATCTACTGACAGAAAAAACTTATGAAATGGTATTGTTCACATACACCAGTACTCTTTAGTATTCTCACTGGCTTCTATTATTGGACAGCAGCTAAGCAGCAAGAAGATTTACTAAAAAAAGACAAGACAAGAAGATAAACATGAGGCAAATTCTGATAACTGCATTTAGTGAATACTAAATCAAATATAAGAGAAAACCAACCCTGCCAAAGATTAGAAAAGAGAAACCAAAATTTCTAATTTCTGTGTTATCACAAAAGACTAAATGTTAGACATCTTACTGAGCCAAACCTTGGAACTTATGAAGTTCAGAAATCTTTACATAAATTAAAACTTATTCATATTTTGTTATAGAATGATTTAGTTTATGATAACTTAAATGATAAGAATCAGTGCATGTGTAATGATTACTGTTGAAGGATTATATGGTAAGAATTAATGCAGCTATATTGATTGTTATTTCATTTTAGATAACAGCTATTAATGTATTTGTATTAGATATTATTCAAGGTTAAAGTATAAGAATTAATGTATGGTTATTAATTGTTGAAGAGTAAATCATAAGAATTAGTCTAAGAACATTGATTTCTGGTGAAATATTAGTGATAAGAATAATGGACCAGTAGTGATTGTTGTTTAAGTTGGTCTTCAATTTTGACAGGTACACTCTTATAAATGTCTGACACTAGTTTCTTTGAGCAGAACATTTTACCAGGATCACATAAACATTAGCTCCCAGTATACAGTTTTAAAAGGCTTCATAAAGTTTTGAGATTTGATGTTAATTGAAATTGTATATTTTTATAGTTTACATTTTGTTTTAGTATTTATGTTTTGACCGAATAAAAGAGTTGTTAAAAAAAGACAACCTTTTCTTTCTAAGGGAGATTTTACCCGCACTGGGGAACGCTGCTTCACAGGAGTAATGAAAGATGGATACAATTCTGCTAGCAGGTGATCATAAGTTATAAGCTATATTTTTAATGTTGTAATTTGTTTTTTATCTACATGGTGCATGATATTAATAACAAGTAAGTTTATGGGATTAGGCCTAGAATATTTTGAATTGATATCACAAAAACCTAGTGACTTTGCAAAATATCTAGAACAGTTATTAGATATAAATATATGTGAGCCATGAGCTGAGTAAGCTTGCAGAGTGAATCAGAAAAGCATAAATAGAGTTAATCAGTTAGAGAGCATTGTCTTAATCAGTGTTTTGTTTTTAGTTACTTGATCAATCATTTGTGAAGTTGTAGAAGTTAGTTTATTTTTTACATTTGAGCATAATTTTTAAAGCTACTTAGTACTACAGTTTACAAGTTACAAATTGTACAAGTCTTTAAAAAAGATTAAGGAGGAAATAAATGAATATGTTATCATTATGTGGACTGGACTTGTAAGTATTTTCACCATATAATATAAAAGAACCTTCAAACAAAAGAACAACACAGTCAACAGTATTTTTAAATGATAAGTTCATGGTTTATTTATTAATGCTTAGTAATGAGTAGTAACGATCTAATAACTGGAAAGCTAAGAGCTGTTTACTTCTTTAGGTATTATATGAATCAATTTAAAGATGCCTACCGTCAAGCAACTTTTGACCTGATGTTGGGTAATCAGATGGAGGAGAACATTATGACTCTTACCAAAGAGCAGGAACATCCAGTAGCAGCCAGTGAGTTTCCTGAACAGGACCACTATGAGCATGTCAAGCAGTTAATAGAAGACTGTAAGAAGATACTTATCCCAGAAACAGAAATCATCCTAGGTGGTTGGGCACTGATTGATGCTGACTCTGTGTATGCAGCTGAGTTTAGGAGCTTGATAAGTTTTTTTATATGTGATAATTTTTTTTATATATGTTTAATATATACTTGATAAACTAATTGTTAACCATATGTAACTTAATTTCAATTAATGATTCACAAACACGAGTTTCTTTATAGAGGAAACATGCTAGATAAGCGGGTAATTTCAAATGGTCCAACAGTTTTGATTGAAAATTTCTTTCTGCTTGTGGTATATAAAAAGCAAATTGTGTTTTGGTACAGATATTCATAATATGATTTACATGAATGCCTTAACAGGTAAAATTTGTATAACAAACACACCTCTGACAGTGATGAGATGTGCCAGTGAATCTAAGAGTGCTGCACTTAGTGTAGTCTCCCGATTTGTAATGTTCTTGTTATTTCAGGTGTATCAAAAGATAACAAAGCATTGATTGTTCATTATTATTTTTTCATTCATCTAAAAAAGAAAAATTTGGTGTCAAAAAGAAGTTTTGTTGTATATGCTTACTGCAGAAGGACACAGTACATAGAATTGTATGTTTTGCTTCCAGTCCAAACTTTATTCCCACAAGAAACACATCAATGAGATTAGCTGAATTTTTAATGGCTCTTATTGCATAGTTAGAAAGCTAGAAACATTAGGATAGTTATAGGACATTGTCTGCTTTATAAATGTTATTATTTTGTGTTCCTAGGAGCACTATTCAATTAAACAAAAAAATACTTTGTGTAGCAGTACCATAAGTATAAAAAAATTAGGCTGAAGTATCATCGACAGTAAAAAGCAAGAAGATCCAGGTAAGTACTATATTTTGTATTTTTCATGTGTACTTTATTTATTACTAGGTGGAGTACCCATCTGTTGGACGGGTGAAATAAAAACTTGTTTGTAACAAAGGACAGGAAACTGTGCTTCTATTTCTCTTTTCCTTAACATAATAAACATTAAAAGTCCAATAATAATACATAAAGGTACCAATACTGAAAAGAAAGACATACTGTTTTCAAGAATTCTATCAACGTGAAATTTGATGGGAGGGTCCACCCCCCTACCCCCCATGAATTTCCTCATGTCATCCTGTATCACTGTGTCAAGTTGTGCTGATTGGTTAAGAAATGGGGAAACATAAGGAAGGGATACACACCTATATTGATGTTTATTTATATAAATTATGGTTTCGTAAATAATTTTGACATAAATCAAATAAATACTTTACCATGTAAATTTTAAAATAGTATATTTATTGATATTTTTCAGAAACATTTCATTACTGGTAAAAAAAGGATCAAATTCAGAATTGCTACAAAATGTAATAAGCAAGATATTCTAAATTTAATTGAAAACTATATTAAAAAAATACATATTGAAACTTAATTATATTACATCTTATCCATCTAGATGGTTTGTAGAGTGGAAACTTTATTTACTTAATAAAGTAATATTGAAACTTTTTTTAAATAAATTGAACAAAATATTTAATAGATATTACATTTTTTTAAATAAAATATAAGATTCAACAATTACAACAAAAATTTGTAACTGTTTCCAACTATAAAGATAATTGTAATATTGGGTTTATTTGTAAAAAAGTTGTATGCACAACTTTAATTAATGAAATTAATAATATTCAAGCATTTAAACTGATTAATCAGTCTAAGAATACAGTAATTAATAATTTCATTAAAGTATATAAAAAAACTATTCCAAATCAAATCATGTTTTGAATTACCTTTCCTTTATACATAAATTTCCTATAAAATTTAGATTTATTTCCAGCTCAGTGAAAATAATTATTAAACAAGCAACCATTTTAATAAATAAGTTACTTTTATTGTATTTTATTTTACACAATTAATAATATAAATAGCAATAATAATCAATATACTTTTTGGAGATAAAAAAATACCAAAATTTTTTTATGAATAAACACCCTCTAACTCAAGTGCATTCGAAAGGTGGACCTTTCTTCTTCGGGGGCAAACTGGGAATCCAAATTTTTTATAATATTTGGATAATTGGCTAGAAAAGTTAAAACTGTTCAGACATTTGATTTTACTACTTTTCTACAACAATTCCTTTGAAAGGTTTAATTTTAGTTATGAATTCATTAATAGAACAGTGTTGTAATCCTTGTGTAATGCTTGAAGAAATACATTTTGCAGCTAAAAATATAACATATACACTGAGTGGTCACAAGTAAATAGACACCTAATTTTTCGTCATTTAACTGATTTATGCTAACTAATTTGTGTTGACAGAGCACTATATAAATGAAAATGGTCCGCACACTAATTATCATGTGCTACAACATGGCTAGAACTCAAGGTTC